TTTTTGGTTAGTTGAACTCTTGCAAATTGATTAAAATGCATTCTGAGGATACGCGGGTGGTGGGACTGTTGGGTGTGTGGGAGACTCCCCTTCTTGAAGAACTTCATGGAATCCCTTACCCTCCCCCTCCTCTCCTAAGGGCTCCAAGCCAAGAGCGCCAAATTCAAAGGTTTCCTCCACCAATCCCCATAGGACACTGTGTCCGCGGGGTGATCCCAGTCACCCTGCCAATCAGCACCCGCCACGTAAGCAACTCTTCTTAAGCCAAAGCTTATAAACACATTCTCTCTTCTGTGTCCTCTGCTCTCTTCCTCTTCTTTCTTTCCTCTCTCTACCCTTTCTTTATCTTTCTGCACCCCCCCCTCTCTACCTCTCCTTTGGGCAGCCCCCCAATAAAATCTCTTGGTTGACTCTCCGTCTCGGTGGAGTCACTGGCCTTTCAGGGACAACCTCGAACTCCATTTCTCCTGTTAGACTCTCACCACAGGGTTCTGACACCATGTGCGCAAACCCAGCAAGCAATTGATTCTGCAGGGGACACCAGCTGGGTGTCTACATAATTCAACTCTAATACTATCTACCTGGAGGACTTGGTCTCCCCCCACTTTAGGTGTCAGTCACAAGCCTCAGGTTGTTTTACTTGTGCTTCTGACCGACCGGCTATAAATCGGGGTTCCCAAACCCACTCCTTGAGTTTGATCACAGTGTTACTTAAAGCTCTCAATGACAATCCAAAGAAAAAGGTTCATTGCATTGCTGGCAAAGGAGGAACACTGGGGACTCTGGTCCCAAAGGCTGTGATCCCGTCTATCTACAGGCTTTTATAGAAGTTGATTCAGAGAAAGTGAGATTGGGGAGGAGAGATTAGGGAGGAGAAGATCAGGGCAGATATTGTCCTTGAGCCCACACCCCCCACAGGAAGGAAGCAACACAGACTTTGGGGATGGCACCAGAAGATCGCAGAAATGACTACTTCCCCAATTAACAATGGAATTATAACTCCCGACAGAGAACTCGTGGAATGTAGGCTTTGAATCCCCAAAATTCACAGCCTCTGGGACGGGAGTCCCCTGTGCTTCCCCATTACTAACGAAGCAATAAACCTTCTTTCCCTTTTTCTTAAAACCGTGTTCTTGTTATTGCGTTGGCATCAGAGACAAGGACTAAGCTTTGGGTAACAAAGAGACTCATAGGGCAAGGTGTGTGGGAAGGGGTTCCAAGTTTCCGTGCCCTCTCCAGGCACACCACCCTCCAGGAGTCTCCATGTGTTTGATTATCTGGAAACTTCCTGAACCCTGCCGTTTGTTTTTTTTGGTACCAGGAATTGAACTCAGGGGAACTCAGCCACTGAGCCACATCCCCAGCTCTATTTTGTGTTTTATTTAGACACAGGGTCTCACTGAGTTGCTTAGGGCCTCGCTTTTGGCTGACACTGGCTTTGAATTCGTGATCCTCCCATCTCAGCCTCCTGAGCCGCTGGGATTACAGGCCTGCGCCACTGCGCCCGGCTTCTTTGGGGGTTTTATGGAGACTCTGTGTTATGAGCATGATTAAAGCCTGGTCAGCCATGTAGAAATGTGGCTGAACAAAACAGTGTTGAAACCCGAGTTCTGAGGCGTGACTTGATTCCCCACTTCACCAATTTCCTTCTGGGTTCTTGTCTCGGAAATTTTGAAGATTACAATCCATGGACAATCATGGAAGGGAAGAGTGAAAGGAGCAGGATT